AATAGGAAAGGATTTTCACCACCCCCATATCTAGGAGCAGGCTGATCTCTAAAATATATAAAGAATTCAAGAAACTAGACACCAAAATACCAAATAAGCCAATTAAAAATGGGATAAGGATCTAAACAGAATTCTCAACAGAAGCATCCCAAATGGCCAAAAGACATTTAAGGAATTGTTCAATATCCTTAGTTATCAGGGAAATGCAACTCAAAATGACTCTGAGATACCATCTTACACCTGTCAGAATGACTAAGATCAAAAACACCAATGACAACTTATGCTGGAGCGGATGTGGAGAAAGGGAGATACTTCTCCACTGCTGGTGGGAGTACAAACTTGTACAACCTCTTTGGAAATCAGAATAGCAGTTTCTCAGAAAATTGGGAATCACTCTACCTCAAGACTCAGCAATAGCACTCTTGGGCATAAACCCAAAGGATGAACAATCATACCACAAGGACATTTACTCAACTATATAGCAGCTTTATATATTATAGCCAGAACCAGAAAACAACTTAGATGCCCCTCAACTGAAGAATGGATAAGGAAAATGTGGTACACTGACACAATGGATTATTACTCTTCAGAAAGAAACAATGGCATCATGAAATTTGTAGATAAATGGATCAAACTAGAAAACAAAAAACAAAGAAATATCCTTGGTGAGGTAACCCAGACCCAGAAAGACAAACATGGTATGTATTCACTTGTAAGTCAATATTAGATGTAAAACAAAGAATAACCAGACTACAATTCACAACCCCAGGAAGGTAGGTAAAAAGGGGGAACTGTAAGAGGGACATACATGGAAGGTCCCATAAGGAAAAACAGTTAAGATCTCCTGGGTAAACTTGGAGGGGGATAGAAGGGTGAATGAGAGATGGGAACATGAGGGATCAAGAAGACCCAGTTGCAAAAGGGACAGAGGGGGACAACAATGAAAGAGTTATCTTGATAGAAGGAGCCATTATGGGGTTAGGGAGAAACCTGGTGCTAGAGAAATTCTCAAGAATCCACAAGGATGACCCCGTATTAGACTCCTAGCAATAGTGGAGAGGGTGTCTGAGTGGGCCCTTCCCTTTAATCAGATTAGTGACTTCCATAGTTGTCATCATAGAGCCTACATCCAGTAACTGATGGAAGCAAATACAGTGACTAGGACTGAACCGAGCTCCTGGAGTTCAGTTAAGAGAGGGAGGAGGGATCATATGAACAAAGGTGGTCAAGACCACGATGGGGAAAACCACAGAGACTGCTGATCTGAACTAGGAGGAACTCACAGACTATGAACTGCCAGCTGAGGAACCTGCATGGGAACAAACTAAACCCTCTGAATGTGAGTGATGGTCATGTGACTTGAGCTGTTGGGGTGGGGCCCTGCCAGTGGCACCAGTACCTATCCCAAGAGCTTTAACTGGCCTTTTGGAGCCCATCCCCTATGGTGGGAAACCCTGCTCAGCCTTCACACAGGAGGGAGGGACTTGTACATGCCTCAATTTGTATGCCAGACTTTGTTGACTCCCCAAGGAAGGCCTTTCACCCTATGAGGAGTGGATGGGGAGTGGGGATGGGGAAGGCTGGGGGTCAGGAGAAGGAGAGGGAGGGGATCAGGGGATGCTATGTAAAATGAAAAATAAATTTTAAAAAATGTTAGGGCCAGGAAGATGGCTCAGCTAATGAAATATGAAAATACAGAATTCAATCCATGGAACCCACATGTTGAAAAGAGAGAACTGACTCACTGAAGAAATAACACACACACACACACACACACACACACACACACACACACACACAAATAAATATGTATTTCACAAACAAAAGAATGTACCTTTGTGACCCTTGAAATGGACATTGCTAATCAGTTCCTCTTTTCAAAGTTTCCCACACTTGGCATTTTGAAATTTGAGCAAAATGTGATTTTTAGGTCTCATATTATGAAATTATCCTGTACAGAATTTCCTTTGTTTAAAGTGAAACTTTGAAGACCTTCATTTTTATATTGGATTGTAGGCTATGGAGAAAATCAAAATTAGTTATATAGGCTAAAATATTATACCTTAAAATTGTTTTTGCTAGGTTTTTATCCTCTTCTGAAGCAAAAAGATACATATTTAAATTATGGTCCATCACATCAGTGAAATTTGAACGTATTTCAGTCAAAGAGAAAACTTTTAAATTGTGACACCCATTCTGGAGATTAACCAAAGTTCCTAGGTATCAAAATGCATTCCATTTTAAAATATTCAAGTGTGGAATCTATGTATTCAGAATCCTAAAGAATGTTCTACTAGATCAAGCCCTGTAGATGGTCCAACTTTACAGCAAGCGTGTGGCAAGAAATATGAAGTGAAACTTGCCATAGATAGCCACACATCCTCCCTAAGGTCACCTAATTTCCTCTTTCCCTTCATCTGTCTGGCAGGCAAGCACACTGTCACACACGATAACTTTCCCCACACTTTGTGAGAATTAAACATTGGACACATCTTGGCCAAGCACTGATTCACAAAACTCTTTTTAGTCTCTAGAATGCAGGTGGTTTCCCAAAATGGCTTTCTCATAGTGGCATTCTGTATCTTCAAAATGGCAGTTCAGAAAACCAAAGCAATGACTGATTGGCATTTTTTCTTCTGATATGCTCAGTGCTAGCAACCATCCACTTCCCTAACATTCCCATTAAGTAGATGATACCTTCAAACTTGATACATGAGGAAAAGATGTACAGCTCCTTAAAACATTTGTTTAGCCTTACTATCAAATGATAGAAAGGTCCAGGGACAGTAGCTCCCACTTCTTAGAAAATGTGGCACGTTATATCCCAGAGATCTGGGGAATCAAAAGACAGACAACAATGCCTGCAGAAATAAATAGACTACTCCTCTTCATACAGACTTCTCCCAAGATATCCTGTAGGGTACGGAAGGTACCCTGATTTTCAAATCGTACCTTATCCTCTTGCTTGGTTGTAAATGATACTGTTTTCTCCATCGTTTAAACTCCTATTGTTACAGATGAGGTATTGGAAAACGTCACTGAACCATGAATAATAAAAAATAAATAAATTTGGGGGCTGAAGAAATACTACAGCAGTTAAAAGCATGTTCCAGGGTTTGAGAGAAGGCTCAGTGGTTAAGAGCACTGGTTGCTCTTCCAGGGGTATTGAGTTCAATTCCTACCAACCACATGTTGGCTCACAACCACTTGTAATGAAAGCTGGTGCCATCTAGACTCCTGTCTATATAAGAAATAAATCTTAAAAAAAAAAAAAAACAAGACTCTAAAAGGGAAAAATGCATGGACCCCCGAGAATGGGAAGGGCCAGGATCTCCTGAGCTAATTAGGAGCATGAGGGTAGGGGAGAGGGAGCTGCCAGAATGAGAGGAGGAGAAGAGGAGGGGAGAGGAGGAGATGGAGGAACAGAAATGTTGAGTTGGGGGAAGAATAGAGGAGAGCAGGATGAGAGATACCATATCAGAGGGCGCCATTATAGGTCCGAGGAGAGATCTGGCACTAGGGAGATTTCCAGAGATCTACAAGGATGACACAAACTGACAATCTAGGCAATGGTGGAGGGGATAGCCTAAATGCCCTTCCCCTATGATGAGACTGATGACTACTTTTTATGCCATCCTAGAGCCCTCATCCAGTGGCTGATGGAAGCAGAGGCAGACACCCACAGATATGCACTGAACTGAACTCTGGAACCTAGTTGTGGAGAGAGAAGAATCTTCATTCAAAGAGGTCGTTGGTACCAGGCTGGTGAAACCCACAGAAACAGCTGGCCTGAACAAGGGGGAACACATCGACCCAAACTGCTGTCTGTGACGCCAGCAGTGACTGATCCAGACCCCTGAACATGGATGACAATGAGAAGGCCTCTGTACTCTAGGGGGCCCCTGGTAGTGTATTAGTATTTTTCCCTGGTGTAAGAAGGGACATGTCTTGGCCTGGCCACATGGGGGAGGGCCTAGGCCTGGCCCAGGATGATGTGGTGGACTTTGGGGAGCCCCCGTCGAGGGCCCTACCCAGCCTGGGGAGTGGTGGGTAGATAGGGTGGGGGTGAGGTGGAAGGTTGGGGGAGAGTGTTAGGTGGGGGGAGGGAGAGGGAGAAGGGATTGACATGTGAAGCAAGCTTGTTCCTAATTTGAACTAATAAAAAAAATTACAAAACAAAGAAAGCATGTTCCAGGCACCCACTTCAGGTGGCTCATAATTGCCTGTGACTCCAGCTCCTGGCAATCCAACAAATCTGGTCTCTGTGTGTACCTGCATAAGTATGCACCCCCTATACATACAACTAAATATAATAAAATATCACAAACGGTAGGAATGTGGCTGAGTGATGGCGTACCTGCTGAGCCAGTAAAAGTGCTGGGTCCTCAGCACACACAAACCAGTAACTACCACTGGCCAGTGCTCCTAAGCGCTAAAGATAAAGAGGTTCTAGAAAATATGGGTATTACAGAAGCCCACAAGTAAAAATGAGGAAGGAAAGCCAGTATAAGAAAGCAGAACCTTTACTGCACAAGCTATTCCTGGGTTGCGCTAATGACTGTCACAATACATACAGCTGAGTATCTTCCCAAACAAAGGTCAGTTTCAATTTTTTCTTATGAATGTCCTTGCTATGATAGATAGAATGTGGCTAATTTTTTAAAAAATTCTAAATATAATATTCTATAAATATAGACTATAAGAATAAGGTACTGCATAATATGTGACAACCTAGCCGGTACTCCTCTTACTTCTTAAATTGGGTACTATTATTGTAATGTAATAAGTAGTACTTGCTATTTGGATTTCACAAAGGTATAAATTAATAGGACATTTAAAAAGACCAAAAATAAGATATATGCTCAAAATGTTCCAGCCCAAAATCGTATCTATTGAATGTGTTAAATAATGCAGTTTGTTTTTACAAAAAGTAGTATTTGCCAAGTCATGAGGGCTGTTTGTTTTCATTTGTTTATGTGCATGTTTATTTATAATAGCTGATGCTTGAGACAGCCAATACCACTGTGATGCAGGGCTTCAACAAGTCTGAGAGGTGCCCAAGAGATACTCGGATGACACAGCTGGTGTTCCCAGCCCTCTATACTGTGGTCTTCTTGACTGGCCTCCTGCTGAACACCTTAGCCCTCTGGGTGTTCATTCACATCCCCAGCAATTCTACTTTCACCGTCTACCTCAAAAACACTCTGGTGGCAGACTTGATAATGACACTAATGCTTCCTTTCAAAATTCTTTCCGATTCACACCTTGGACCCTGGCAACTCAGAGGATTTGTGTGTATCTTCTCTTCTGTCATCTTTTATGAGACCATGTATGTTGGTATCATAATGCTGGGCCTCATTGCCTTTGACAGATTCCTCAAGATCATCAGACCTTTTAAGAATTTGTTTGCAAAAAAACCTGCTTTTGCAAAAGCAGTCTCAATTTCCATCTGGGTCCTGATGTTCCTCATCTCCTTTCCAAACATGATCTTGAACAACAAGGAGGCAACACCATCGTCTGTGAAGAAGTGTGCATCCTTGAAGAGTCCTCTGGGGCTGGTATGGCATCAAGTAGTCAATCAAGCATGCCAGTTCATTTTCTGGACTGTGTTTATTCTGATGCTTCCGTTTTATGTGGTGATTACCAAAAAAGTATATAATTCCTATAAAAAGTTTACAAGTAAGGAGAACAAACACAAAAGGGTGGAGATGAAAGTATTTATTGTCATAGCCGTGTTCTTTGTCTGCTTTGCCCCACTACATTTTGTCAGAATTCCATATACCTACAGTCAAACCAATAAGACTGACTGTAGATTAGAAAACCAACTGTTTATTGCTAAAGAAATAGCTCTCTTTTTGGCTACAACTAACATTTGTATGGACCCATTAATATACATTTTCTTATGTAAGAAGTTCACAGAAAGGGTACCATGTATGAGAGGGAGAAGGATGGCAGCATCAAGCCAAGAGCACCACAGTAGTCATACAGACAACATCATCCTAGCCTGACAACATCTCCCACATAGTAATTCTACTCATAGCTTTACTTCTATTTAAGGATGGGACTTAAAAAAGATCATCTGCTTGGAGACTTCATGTAAGCCTTTCAGGAAAAGGGGGAACAAACATTTTCCTTCATTTTATTGTCCTAGAATATGGACAAGATTGTACACACTTTAACTACACAGATATATTTATAAGCAGGATGAATTAACATTAAGAGAATGTTGACGAAACCAAATGGCCACTAGATGTCATCTTTTGAAGAGCATTCACGAAATATAGAAAACATTAATGGGTAATAGGTATGCCTAAAATATGAACAAACAAAAAACCTCCCTCCTAGTGACCATCTCACATTCACCATAAAACATTATGGTGAATTTTATAGCATTCAGAATGCTGATACTTGTGGGCATAAATCAATAAACTTGCACATCCAACACCTGTGGAAGGAAGCCTAACATAGGAGCTGTAAGAGATGCAGTCTGAGCAACCAAAGTGGGTCAAAATGATCCCAGGAATCCCCAGATTTTTTTTCCTTGTAAGTGCAAAGGGCTTTTGCTGCATCTCAGCAGTCCACCAGAAGAGGCACGTGCTACAGGCAAAGCCAGCAAACAGCCATGTGCAATCTAGGAGGGGGAAGATGATGTTAGGGCCGGGTCTTCTTGTACATGTTCTTATACTAGTTTGCTGTGATTCTGGACCACAATTCCCAAAGACAGGGTTCTTAAAAATACAGATACGTCAAACATTTTTTGCTATCTTCTGAAACCCCCCCCCCCACACACACACTGCAGACAGGATATACTAACCTTGGTGCATATAAGCAATGGAATGGTTGGCCTGTGTTTGTTAATACCCGTGTGGGAAGATTTTTCAAAGCCTGATTCATTCTATTTAGGCCCATATGCTTTTCTGGATCTCTTTGTGGGTTTAAATAAAAGTAAAGTATGTTTTTCTGGAATTGTGCATGGTGCCGTTGACCTTTTCTAGAGAACATCAGGACTCTGCCTCTAACCCTGCCTACAAGATGAAGTCTCCACTTCTCCCACCCCCCATGGCCTCAAAGGCCACGGAGGTAAGAGACCCTCCTTGCCTTTATGGAATCATCTGCTAACAGCACTTCTATTCCTTGACCTTTACACTCTGCTTAATATGCCGTGATTTTGCCCTCACTCCACTGTGCACATAACCTTCCATCTGACTCATCTTGAAAGTTCCTATCTATAGTGAAACCCAGAGTTGCTATCGCTTACTCCATGTAATCTCAAATGCCCACTCCTACCCCAGCCCCAATCACTTCCTCACCTGCATGGCATCATTTATCACATTGCTTTGTGATAATTTGTTTGAATGCATCTACCCCTTAAATAGACTAGCTATATTTTGAGGACAGAGAAAGTTTCATTGTTTAATTAATAAATGTTAATAAATGTTTGCTAAAACAAATCAAAGGGGGCATTTATTTATTTATTTTATTTATTTGTTTATTTATTTATTTTTTGAGACAGGGTCCTACTATTTGATCTGGTTGTCCTGGAACTCACAAAGATCTGCCTGCCTCTGCCTCCCAAGTACAGTGCTTGGATTAAATGCATGCACTACCATACCCAGCTCAAACACGTCTTCCTATAATGCACTAGAAAAGTAAAAGGAATGCCATCTCCATTCATTTATTACCATAAGACTGGGCTTCCAGGGTGGGTACTACCATTCTGCAGTAGAACCCTGTTGCAGGATATTTGATCACACCGTGAAACCAGAGACTATATTAATAAAAATCAACCTTGGATCAGGAAACAGAGCCAGGAACTCATTGACAGGAATTAGTCATAGTGAGTAAGCAGGAGCCAAGAAGATGAACAAAGATATGCACAAGAGGGAGTAGGGGGGGGGGACCTGGAGTTTCTCCTTCTTTTTTGTTTAGAATGGCTGGAGAGACACTTTTCGTGCTGGGTCTCCAGCCAAAAAGGAAGGTCAGTTGGTTGCTTCTCAGGCTCTCTTAGCTAGCAGGTTTTCACCTCACCATCTGACTCCTGAGTCTTTATTGGTAAATAGAACAATAGAGACTTGGTTACAAACTACATTTGGCATCGGCAACAGAGCCAGCACCAGTGGGACTGTAAATCCCACCAGTGTTATAACATTTAGGCATTTGTACTGACCTATCTTTGGAGTTCTGAAAGGATACTGCCATTAAGAGAACTACCTGGGCCCTTTCACTATTCCCTTTTAAAATAGCCCTGCCCACCTCCCATTCCCCCTCTCTGCTTCTCTCTCTCTGTGTGTGCTTCTCTCTCTCTTTGCTTCTCTCTCTCTCTCTCTGTGTCTCTCTCTCTCTCTCTCTCTCTCTCTCTCTCTCTCTCTCTCTCTCCACTCTCCCCGCTGCTCTCCTGTCCCCTTTTTATGATCCTTTCCTTTAAGAAATCCTTCCACTTTCTCTCTCAAGCCACTTTTTATTTTTTATTTTTTTAAATTACAACAAGGCCTGGGCCTGAGTTTCTGGGTGCTGACTGCAGGGCCATGAACAGTAGTTTAACAATAGATTTAACTAAGATGACAGAAAAACAAATGAACCCTAGCATTTATAAGATCCTGGATTTGTTCCCCAGCACTGGGATGAAAAAAGAATGATTTTAAAATGGAGACTAAACAGCTCACCACTTCAATTTTAAGACAACTGACAAAATGTTTTAGTTATTCATCTTTGGGTAAGTCAAACCTGTAACTGCTGCATATTATAAATTCCAGAGCTCTCCTTTAGACTGATTCTTGGTCTCTCTGATAAAACAGTGAAACGGTCCCTATTGTTGCACACATCACTAAATCAACAGTACTGTTACATAGCACATTACAGTCACAACACTCTAACACTGTGTGACACATAACTGCATCTGAGTCACATTAGTAATAACAATCCATACTTGGTAGTATAACCTATATAATTTATCTCTGATGACAATTTCAATCTCCTGGACATGGACTTACAGCTAATACAATTTTAAGAAAGATATTTCCAGACATGATTTCAATAGCAAATCTATGCTTCACTCCATTATGGTGGATTGCTTAGTCAAGCATTGTGGTGCATACCTGTATAACCCCAACACAATAGAGTCTCTGTGGGGAATCACAGTCAATACTAGCTTTTCTAGGTGGCAAAACAATAGCAACAGAAGCATGGCCAAGAACCTAGAGGAGAGGTGTACTAATCCTGTTTTAAGGTTACATTCTCCAAGCAAAACTGTCATTCTCCAAGCAAAACTGTCAAAACTGTCGAGGCAAACCCTAAACTCCAGAATACTTATGAATGGGGTGATGGAACTTGGCCATAAACAAGTAGAAAAGAGTGAAAAGAAAGCAGAGTAGGGCCAATCCTTTGGAAACATCACCATGTACTCCTGTCCTTTCCTTCAGTTCCCCCAGAGGCCTAATCTGTACTAGACCTTTCTTAATAAACTTCAAAACTGCTTTCAAATAACAGCAACTCTGATTTGGTATGTGAGCTGAACTCACAGCAAAATTGAGGGCTTTTGTCTAAAGCCAAGACACAATTATTTGCACTGGATAATTATGGTGAGGCCTCCAAATATCTTCTATGAGGAGAAACGATGGACTGTAATTACCGTACAGGGCAACATTCTGGAGAAACCACAGGAAGTTACTCTAATGTTGGAATGGGTGTGGGGCAGAGACGCAGTGAGAATTCTCAGATCAGAGAAGTTAGTAGGATGATACTGATAAAAGTCATTCTACAGAGTGGAGCTCCACAAGTCAGCTAGCACACATTTTTTGCCGGAGAAATCACCCACAACAGAACAGCCCAGGCCAAAGCAGTGTCTACTATCCCAGGGGGAAAATTTTTTACAAGATACTAGTCCCCATGAGCGCAGAATTTACAAATTATTTCAAGGGCCTAAGAACAGACCTGAACTTCTTGAACTTCATATGGAAACCCAGCATGTGTAATAAAAGCATAGACATATGAGCTAGAAAAGTCGGATGTTTAGCGGGGCACCAGAATCAGATTGCTAGCCACACCTCGAGTTCCTGGTTCAGTGTTTCAGTTAGGATTAGTGTAAGCTTCCTGATGATAGTGGAGTCACTGCCCCAAGTGTCTGTTAAGGCCACACTTCTCATTGAAACTCTCTGACAACCCAGCTCTCATGGGACACACATAATCCCACTTCCTAAAGCCAGGATGCTGAGGCAGGAGGATGAATTTGAGGCCAGTCTGGTCTACAGAGAGAGTTACACAGTTCAGACCAGCCTGAGCCACATAAAAACAACTGACTCTGCCAGGCGTTGGTGGTGCATACCTTTAATCCCAGCACTTGGGAGGCAGAGGCAGGCAGAGCTCTGTGAGTTCGAGGCCAGCCTGGTCTCCAGAGCGAGTGCCAGCATAGGCTCCAAAGTTACACAGAGAAACCCTGTCTCGAAAAACAAACAAACAAACAAACAAACAAACAAAAAACAAACAAACAAAAAAACCAACTAACTCACTGCACAGCCATATTGCAAATGAGTGGTTGGGAGCTGGATTAATCAACCGGTGACAAAGCAACATTATTAATAAGAGAGCAGGGCAGCTACAAGGTGAGAGCCAAGGACTGACGACCCGGGAAGCTTATACCTCATTTAAGGGCCATCAGTTATTTAATACTAAATGCTGACACTGAAGGTGATTTTGATTGCTAGCTGGTAACAATACAGTGGACAAGCTCGGAGCTTTGAAAATAAGGCGAATGCATTACATAATACTTACCATTAAACGGGCATGAAGACAAAACTTTCAACACATTCTATCATTTATCAGTCCTAGGAAGCCGATAAAGTGTTTCCATTATCTTCATTTTAGAGAAGAAGTTGAGAAACAGAGAGGATAGGTAACTTGCATAAAGTCACACAGCTCACAAGCAGCATGGCTGAGGACCTAAATAGGACTCTGGCTTTTAAACCTATCTTAGATGACATAATATTCTCAAGAAAAAGCACAACTTCAATTT